TCTCCTCTCAGCGTCTCCAACCCCCTTTGATGTTGTGAAGAATAGTTTATTTATAGAGGAGCTTTGCTGTGTTTTTTTTTTTTGGGGGGGGGGGGGGGGAGGGGGAATCACATCTGAATTGTTTGGGTACACTGTCCCCTTGTTTTCTTCGATGCAGCTCTAATGTACCCTTTTTGTGTAAGTATGGAACTGGGACAATGCAGGATCAATAGTATTTTCGAGCGTTGTGGCAGCTTAGTGCAGGACTGTTGTATAGCAGTACAACTGGCTTGGGTTTGGAAGTATATAGGACTTTGGTCAACAAACACCATGAATACTCCACCCTTTCGTTTTGATCACTTCGGCCAGACTCATCATCATACAACAACGTTCGTTTCCACCAACTTTTCTTTTATCCAACAAGGAAAGGGTGAAAAGAACAGGAAAGAGGTTGATAGATTTTGAGTTCGAGGGGTAAGTTATGAAAAGGTAAGGTGTTAGCACCCTTTTCATTAGTAGTTATCCACGGGCTCTTAATTTCTAGCTAAATTTTTGAAATTTGCTTTGTGTGTGTGATTTGCTGGAAAATATTTTGGAAAGCTAACTTTGTAATGATTCTTGTATCAGTCCTCAAGAACGCGTACAAAATGGTTGAAAATATTTTGAAATGAGTGATGTGTAAAAATGTTGAGTTGAAAAATTTTGAGCAAGCGATTAATAGTTCCTTACCCACTAAAGTCTTTCTTATTATTTTCCTTCTCCTTTAGAGATAGTGCTATCCATAACATTAGTATGTAGGTAGCCCCATCTGTTGGATGTGAAGGGACAGGAGAAGGGTCATCGAATGGTCATTGAAGGAAACATATAGAGATACTTTAGCCATTTCGTATCGGAGGGACTAGATAATTTTTTGTAGGCAGTATTGAAGGGTCATCGAGGGACTATGATCTTTATTCTAGGGTCTTTTGCTAAAGTATCCCTATTTTTTGAGGGACATGACCAATGTTTTTGAAGGAAATGAAGAGAGGTTACCCTAGAGGTGTGAGTGTGAAAAGTGTGTTTGGTTAAGTTTTATTATCTTGAATTAGGGTTTTCTAACGTCTTGTTTTAGATCTTACAATACATGCCTAGTTACTAGCAGTATAAAATATAGCAAGAAAATAAAGTTGCGGAAAGTAAACCCTACGCTATTACAAGGCTTTGGGGCAGTTACATAAGAAAATGCGGGGAATTAAAATGTGGAATTAAACCTAAGCTATTACACCCTGTGTGCAGTTACATAGTAAAAAAATGCAGAAAAATAAATCTAAGCTATTACAAGAATTGTACGACCTATACATTCGTCTAAGAATTTAAAAGAAATAAGAAAAATGTTAGGAAAAGTGTTTGAATGTTTGTTTGTGTTTTTTTAGAAAATAACTTGATGTCAATTAAATTGTTAAAACCCTAAGTCTAATTAATTTTAATTAATAAAAATACCTAAAGTCTAATTAGTTTTAATATTAAGAAAATTTTAATTAACCTAATTAATTAGTAAATAATAAATAAATGTCAAAAATTAATTATTGATTAAAAAAAAACTAAACCTAATTTGTTAGGGTTTTAAAAAAGGATTAAAATTGGGTAATGGTTCTTTAAGAAAATAATTAGGGTTAATAATAATAATTAAGGTTAATAATTAGAAAAAGAAAAGAAAATAGGTTAACAAAATAAGGAAAAAGGATTTGTATGGGGTGGGTGTTGAACCCACGCTCTCTAGCTTCACAAACGCACCCTTCTAACACTGCGCCAAGATGTTATTGGTGTTAGGAGACATGTGTTGCATAATATATTGGAAACATGCGTGTTAAATGGAAAAAAATAGAAAAAAACATTCTGAAGCGTAGGATCGATCCCACGCCCTTACATTCATAACCCAATGCCCTGACCAGCGGTGCTACATTCTCATTCGTTTACCAAATGAAACAAGTTAAATATAAAATAAAATGAGTGGACCGAAGAGATGTCGGAGCCCTAGCTCCAGTCGTCTTCTCCTATGAGCTCGTTTCTTCAACCTATAAAACAATGCACATTAGAGAGTGAAAAGAACCCTACCCCCCCCTAAATTGACCCTTGCGAATCCACTGGCGGGCTTAGTTTTTGCTAAATTGATCTGTACAAAGAGATAGGATCAAAATAACTCAAAATGGTTTAAACATGGTGATGTACGTTTCTGGAATCATGGGTCTCATGCAAGGGATTAAACCTACATTATTACATCATATGAACACTTTAGAAACATTAGTTCACATCAAGACATCATAAAACTTAAAATACGAATTTCATGTAAATCCAAAACTGGCCATGTATGGGATGCGTGTTTCAGACACTTTTGATCATCAAGAATGATTAAGACTTACTCTATAACACCCCAGGAGCTTATTTGAATGGATGGTTTTCTTTGAGAAGGGTTGGAAATAGGATTTCGAGTTTTCCTTATTCTTGACAAAATTTGAGATTTTGCGGAAGTGTTCTTTGAGATATTTTTTCGTGTCTTAAGCATCTGAATGTATTATGTTTATATAAAGGATGGAATTAGGTCAATAAAATTGAGAAGAATCTTGTGAAAATGTGTTATGAATATTTGATTGAAAATTATATGAAAAGTTTCCAAATTTTCTTCAATCATGTATCAATTATCTCCACACAGTTTCTTCATGATTGTCACGAAATACCGGGCATCCATGTGACTGAAATCAAAAGCACATGCACCTTGATCTAATGCTTCATATTTTATTTGATTTAATTTGCATTTAAATGAATAAAAATTCAAATAAAAGAAATAAAAATCATAAAAAATATGTGAATAGTTTTCGGGGTCCCCTAATATGCCATAAACATGTTTGAACTTCAAAAGTTAGGCCCATTAGTGTAAAAGCCCAAAATTTTTCAATTGAGGTTTCATGAAATTCCACAAAATTAAGCAACTTGTAAACTCATTACTTGCTCAATTTTTGTCATATGAAGGTGATCTTTGACTTTTTGGAAATCTCAAGATGTCTCCTACAACTCTTACGTTGGTCTTTTTTTCATTTGAAGACTTTAACATGATGTAAATTGCTTTGACAAAAAGTGTCTTTTTGTTGACTTTTGAAATGACCAGTAATGTTTTGGCTCATATCTCTCAAATGAAGCATTTTTAGTCTTGAGCTGAAAGAGTCAAAGTTGTATGGAATTGAATTTCCATAAAAATGGGCTTTGGTTGAGAATTTTTTGATGAAGCATGTAAAAGGTATGCTTGGTCAAAGTTCAGTTGACTTCTCCTAAAGAAAACCCTAATTTAGCAGCGCTTGACTTTTGATTAATATTGAGTATTCTTGATGAATGATGATCAACCCTTGATTAAATGATGAATGTGACCTCAAAATCTTGATGTTGACCAAAAATATTGAAGTTTGACTGTATGTTTACCACATTTGACTTTTGTCCAATATAGTTGATTTTCACTTATATGAGCAATTGACTGTGCATATTTGTGATGTAAGGCTTGAAACTTGACATGAGGATTCTTTGAAGCATATGAGAAACCAAGAAACTAAATTGAGGCATTAGAATCCCAATTTTCTTTAAGATAACCAAAACCATGGTTGTAGGCCATTACTTAGGAGGGGGATTCATTTGATCATTTTTTGAGTAGTGTTGAATACTCGAGACCTTGTGAGCATAAGGAGGCATCTTGAATCAATTGTCTTGAGAAATGGGAGGGCAAAATTTGGGGTACAATATTACCCACCACTTTCTTTTCTCTATCTTGAACCAAAGCATCATTATCAGTTTCTTTTGGAGGACATTCAGGAGTAGGAGCGAAAACTCTGGCACTATGGGTAATTCCACTGGTTCCAGCAATGTTGGAAATTTTCGTATCACCTACTGGAGGAAAATATACATTCTTACCTTGGATGTATGCAACATTGTAATCATAAGGGAAAACTCTCTAATCAATAGTGTAGCGGTGAAAATCGGAGATCAAGCTATTAATTAACTTGACTCACAAAAAGCAAGAGTCGCCACCGCGCTTTATTATTTCCAAGGGAAAAGGGAAAAGAGCGAAATAAAACCCTAAAATATGCAATGTAAAATAATACTTAAAAGTAATAAAATACAATGCGTTTTTTGAAAGAGATCGAGAGTTCGGGGGTTGGTTATACAATGGGAAGGTATTAGCACCCACTGCATCTGCGGTACTCCACAGGAACCTTTTGAAATATCTATTTTTTTTGGTTAAAATTGTTTGTTTGATTAAAATGGTTTGTTTGGCTAAAGATGAGTGCGGATGAGATTTTGAAGAGACAACAACCTAATGTCGAAGTTTTGACTTCAAAGGTGTGAGTTTAAAAATTGAATCTTTTGGGAAAATTATCTCTGGTTTAACAAAACAGTAAACAAACAAAAGATGAATGAGGGTATTCGCACGATTAGATGAGATGTGTTTGATGACGTGAAGTCAACAAAATTCAAATCTTTTCCTTGGAGTTTAAACAAACAAACAATAAAGTAAGCCATAAAAATTAAAATGAACTAAACTGAAAATACCACAAAACTTATTAACATGTAAAAGGAAAATCATAAAGGAATAAATATAAACCAAAATTGATGACAAAGCGAATAATAATAAATACGAAATGATGGAGGAATAATTAAACGTAAAGAGATATATAATTAACTCTAAGATACGGTCGAAAATTCTAAGGTTATTAAGTTAAATCTAAATTAAAATTCTAAAATTTGCTGACTAAACGAAATGAAAATTATAAAATTACTAACTAAGCTAAATAAAATTCTAAATTTACTAACTAAGCTTAATAAAAAATTCTAAATTTACTAACTAAGCTTAATAAAAAAATTCTAAAACTTACCAACTAATTCTAAAGAAAAATATTAAGTTGACTCCAAACTAAACTAAATAAAACAAAATGTCTAATTTAAGAACAAAATTATATGATTAATTAAAACTAACTAAATAAATGAAATATAGCTCACCCTCAAGCAAAGTCCTGATATACTGGATTCAACTCAAGTTGCTCTGCCATTTTCTCTAAGACATCTTTCAAAAGTTTTGCTGGCTCTTCTTTCTCTAATTCCACTGCACCTTTTTCTTTAGCTACATCAGCAAAAACACAATCATAAAAAAGATCAGCTGCATCGCCACCATCATATAGTGGTAAACCCAATTCCGTAGTGTTTTTATCAAGTTCAAGGTCAGGCTTGTGATCCTTAAACAAGTTGTGTGCCTGGCCTTTCCTTGATAACACACATCTAGAATCACCAGCATTTGCAACAACAAGTTTGTTTCCTCGGATGACAGCCACACAAGCTGTGCTTCCAGAGTTTGGCCCACCGAAATCGGAATGGGGTCCCTCCTCAAAAGCCCACTCATCGGCACGGTCATTGGCTTCACTACTCTTGGGAGACCATATAAACCCCTCTAGCATACCAGAGAACTTTTCCATTTTATCTCCCAAGACTGCTAATTCTCTCCACCCTCTTTGGCCGTGCATCATCTCATCCATTCTGAGGAATGATTTCTGTAAAGATGTGGCTATATCTCCAGCTAAGTAAGCTTCATGCCTAAGCACCTGCTGGTGTAGAAACTTGGCACAGAATTTTGAAACAGCTTTACCTCCATGGCCATCATAAACACCAAAGTAAGACGTAGACTCGTCCAAATATGGATGAGCTGCATGTGCATCTTCCATAGAAGCACGCCAGCCCTACATTGAAGACAAACCGAAGCGAAGCATGCCATTCTCACCATCTTCAGAGGCCTTCTCAGTTTTTGGAGCACTTAGATATATCCCCATCACAAATCGTTCGCGGAAAAGCAGAAAGAAAGAGAAAGAAAGAGAGAAGAGGAAGCTTGTGAATGTGCAATGTGAATAATTTGAGTTCCGGTGAGCGGACGATCGGAGACGCCGGTGGATAGATCGAGGTCGCGGAGATCATTGGGAGGTGGAGGTTATGCTTATTATGGTGAATCGGACAGAGATGGTTTACGGTAATTGAAGGGGATGGTGATGTAGCTGAGGATTCGTGGATCTCAGAGCAGAACCAATACACACTGTAACTTCTCTTCAATGTGAGGATGAAGAAGATGAAGGAATCTTCATGAATCCTCGAGAGATGAGAGAGAATCTCTGGCTTGAAGATGAGAGTGTGAGAGAGTTTTTTGGATCGGTTTCTCTTTGAAGTTTGCTACCACTTCTAACTGAATGTGTAACCATTTTTGCAGCCGAATGATGAGAAGCTCTTTTATAGGGTGGTGGGTGCGTGGTTGTTTAAGAGTTTATCTTGAATCCAAGAGAGTGAGTGTCAAATATTTTTCACTGGGTATGTTGTTATTGGTGTTGATCTTTGAATGAGTATAAGGAGAGTGGGAGAATAGAGAGTTAAAGAGAGGAAATGATGATATGCTGAAAAAAGAGAAGAGTACTGTGTTGCTTTTTTGTTTTTGTTTTTTTTTTGGAGTAGAGAAAGAGATAAGTGTCTTATATAGGAAAATGAAGAGGAAAAATTTTCTGATTTTTTCAATTTGGTTAGGAAATATTTTGTATCTATCCGCGATTTCTTCCAACAACCAATAGCAATAAAGTATAGTATAACCAATATATTTTTGTGACCAAAAAGCCCCTGAATGACAAAAATAAAATAAAAACATGAAATTATAAAAAATAACTCAATTTGAAATGATTTTTTTGAATATTTTATGAATAAAAAATAAAGACCCAAAATGACCGAAAATGATAAAAAAACGGACGAAAATTTATCCGAAAAAATAAAATGAACACATTAAAATAATCTACATGTCACAAAGATTAAAGAAAAAAATATTCAAAAAGTCGAAATAAAAATAAAATGATAATAAAAATATCGGGCTAAAACAGATGTTTACAGTTAAAAACGAGACTTCAAATTGTACCGAAAAAATAAAGCGAGCATGCCGTCATAATCTACGTGAAGCGCAGATTCATAAAATGATCGGTAAAAGGTGAAAACTTGAAATATTTTCTCGCTACTTTCCCACATAGTGTCAAATCGCTTTTAACAGTCTGTCTATAAAACCGAAATATTTTATTATCGACATATAAACAACTTGGAGCAGTGCAAGAAAATAGTAAACAGATAAAAATGGATGAAATGAAATGTCGGGTATTTTACAACTGAAGGACGATGCAAACTTTGATTTAAACTGACTTTTCCTGGTCAACTTAAATACGACTAATGATGCAAAAATGTGATGAATGAAGATGTTTACTAATGATTGTGACCAAATGACAAAATATGGTATGAATGTGCGACTGAAAAAATTAGGGGCGACATCTGATGCTCTTGATTCAGACCTCTCTCTGCACATGAAGCAAAAGAAAACATGAACATACACCTTTGTATGGATTAGAAATTAGTGATACATAGGCTAAAAATGTTCAAAACACTTGACAATCTTCGCATAGTCAAAGCTCGAAGGTGAGAGGTTAAAACCAACCGTATTTCGTGACCTTGGATTATGTTTAAAAATGCAAAAATAAATATGGGATCTTAGGTCAAAAATTGGGGTACAACAAATAGGATGGGTAACAGCATGAGCAGAAAAAGGTAAAGTATGGACTGTTATAGGAACAGCTGAAACTTGAGCAAGAGGAGCTAAGTCTTAGACATTAGTGGGATTCGTAGGATCCTGGATTAATAGATGAGTAGATTGAGTCTGAAGTAGTGGGGTTGTAGTAGTAGCAGGGACTTGGATTATTAACGAAGCATTCTGAACTCTTGGCACTATGTAGTATGGTATCTCTAATACGATAACATCACCTTTGGAAGGCACTTTCTCAACTCGGAGTATACCCTCATCCATTAACTGTTGAATAGCTTTTTTCAGTTCTCCATATTCTTCTGGATTAAAAGAGCATTGTAGACAAAAATCATAAAGGTCTTGCAAAACCCCTTGTTATAGTAGAAATCCTATGACATTTTCAAATGGTATCATGATTTCATCAACACTACTCGCTAAAACTGGTCCTTCTTCAACTAAGATGGCATTTGCAGTTGCCCTACCATGTGACGGCATAGGATTATTTTGACCATTCTTCCCTATTGGAGTGAAGGAAATCTCTTTTACATCAACAAGATCTTGAACTCTATAATTTAATGCTCTGCAGTTTTCTGTAGAATGACCAGGAGTACTTGAGTGAAATTCACAATGCGCGTTGGCATCATATCCTCTAGGGAGAACCTTAGGAGGTGGCTCAAGTTCTCTCAATTGAACCAAAGTATCGACAAGTAACTATGGCAAGAGTTATGCATATGGAATAGGGATAAGATCAATTCTTCTAAAAGGGTAGGCCCTTAGTCTTTGTTGGTTTTAAGGCCTTTTATTTTGTTGATAATGTTGTTGCTATTGTTGGTGTTGGTGTTGTGGTGGTTGTTTCTGAACCACTGGTTATTGTTGTTGTAGAGTGAAAGGTTGTTGTAGAGACACCCATAATTGAGGAGCACTTGTAGCATATACTGGATGTGGAACGGTAACAGGACTTAAGTAATATGGAAAATGGATGGTTGGAGTTTTTCCTTTATCAGCAGAAATATGGCTCTACTCACCCTCGTTTTTCTTAGCCCCTCCAAAGTATGGTTTCTTTCCACTGCTAGAACTGTTGATGTTACCACTAGTACCAATTGTATTCTAAATTTATCCAACTTTGATACACATTTAGACCTTCTCCCCAATAAAAATTATGTCAGAAAAGGACGAAGAAATTCTATTGATTGCATGTTGAAGATACAGACCTTTCAAAGTACCCATGAACAAATCAACTAACTCGTAGTCAAGGAGAGGAGGCTGAACCCTTGCATCTAGGCTACACCACCTATGGGCGTACTCTTTAAAGGATTCATCAGTTTTCTGTGACATACTTTATAATTGGGTAAGGATGGGAGCCTTAGCAGTATTGTAATGATAGTGTTTCAAGAAAGCGTTAACAAGCTCTCCCCAAGTACTAACATGAGTTGGTTCTATTTACGTGTACCACTCTATTGATTCCCCTGTAATATTATCTTGAAAACAGTGGTTGAGCAGAGGTTCATTTTAAGCATAGGAAGCCATTTTACGGCAGTAAGAGCGAAGATGAGTTTCAGGACATGTAGTTCCCTTGTACTTGTCAAAATCAGGGATTTTAAACTTTTGAGGCAGAAAAATTCTAGGGACTAAACACATGTCGAAAACGTTGAAAACGGTTTTATTTGACACTTCCATGGCCTTGAGTCGTTCTTCAATAGCTTTATACATCTTAGCAGTCTGATTGTTGCCATCCTTGAGGTCAGCAACCAAGTTACCATGAGAGTCACCAAAATCAATGAAATTGTTGTGATTGTCGATTATCTTCCCTTCTTGTTGATTTACAGTAGTAAGTATGACTTTCGGAACATGTCCTACATTGAGTCCTCCATTGGAAGAAGGAGCAGTAAGATTCACAACATTTTGACGAAGATCTTCCTGGCCTTTGATCACAAAATGAAGTGTCTCAAGAAGTTGGTTCATTTGTTCCCCCATGGAATCCATATCTTGGTGGAGTAAGTTTTGGTTCTCTTCAAAGTGGTCCATAATCCTCTATTTATTGAGTTTGGTGTTGTACGGGTGTGTAAGAGTCAACTTCACTGATTCTGAATAAGGAAAAAAGATAAGGGCCCCATTAAGTTTCTGTACCTGATAAAAAGATGCATGGAATGTATGAAGTGCATGCAATGTTTTCATTTCCAGGAAATCTTAAGGTTCTCGTCACCCAATAAGATGATAAAAAATAGGGTTCAATAAACGAAAGACTAGAATTTTAAGACATCCTTGAAGCGATATGCATATGTGAGTTATCATTTTTTGTACATCATATTTTTTTAAAAATAGATATTTTATGTTGCAAAATGACACGGTCAAGGTTTCCATACCACTAGACACTACTGAACTATTGTATGAAGTCAAGAGTCACGGGATCACAAGTTTGGATCGGTCACCAACAAGAACCAAATAATCCCCAACGGAACCAAAGTCAGCAAAGGAACCAAAGTCACCAACGGTACCTGTAAGAACATCACACCCCACTCACGGGTGAAGTCTAGGTCAGGGTAAGGCAAGGGTGACTGAGAATCATGGGTCCTCCTGAAAGTACTATCATCAAAACATAGACGTGTATGATGATAATACCCCCATTTGTACCTCAACTGAGTATGGTATATATGACTGCACTATTAGGACCTCTTCCAATAGTCGTTGTGTCCCCACTCTATTCCTAGGGTTCCTAATGGGTTACAACTCTGGCTTGGGTACTGGGCCTTTTACCTCATAGTATCATCCCATGCCAACAGATAAATAGTACAACAACAATATCCAGAGTATAGGAAACCATGAAAATAAAATACAATGCATGTAAATAGATAAATAAGTATTACAAATAAAGAAATAAACAAACAAAACACCCACAAACAAGAAACCAAACAAGATCTAGGATTGACTCACTAAGTTTCCCCAATAGAGTCGCCAGCTGTCGCGTCTGGCATTTTCATCGAAGCGCGAACGATAGGCGAAAGATAGAAGAGTCACCATCAATGTTATTTATCCCAAGAGTGGGAAAGAAAACCATGAATGAACCTAAATTAAGGAAAGAGAATGGTCTCACGATTAATAGAAAAGGGTAAGGAAGTCAATTACGCAAGGGGAAGGTATTAGCACCCCTCACGTCCATGGTACTCCACGGGGTCCACTCAAGTTTGTTCTAATCTAAGAGTGTATAAAAGTCTAAGTCTAAAGCTAAATGCTACAAGG